ATGGGTAACCAAAGTCGGTCAAATTAAAAATAAAGGGGACTATTGGCATAGTTTATCCTAGTGTTAAATATCTTAATTTTAATTGGTATAAACTGTAATATTAATTAAATGTCAATCAATAAGATAAGTTAGGCTTAAGGAGTCATGTTAGCCCTAAAGTAATTCAAATCAACAATATTGTTCATACTTTTTATTTAACTATTTTAATCTGCCTGGTTATTAACGGTGTTAAGGTGACAGTTTTTTGAGTTGATATGGTAATTTAATTTTTTTAATTTTATAAATTTACTTACTTTTTTATTTTTTTATAGTATTTTTTAATATTTTTAAGAATATTTTAAAATTTTAATAATTTCTTACATTCTTATATTTTGCTTAAGGATTAAATAAGCTTTCAAACTTTCAGTTAAAATAAATTATGTCCTCGGACTCAATCAAAAAATTAATTATGACCTTAAAATTGGCCACTCCCTCATCTATATCATCGTTCATGCGTAAACTATCACATTACCTCAATAGACAATTATATATTGTTAATATTATGTCAGTACCGTAACAATTAACGTGTCAAAAGGTAAAATTAATGTAATTAAAATATAGGGAAAATGTTGCTTATTTGAATTTACTTCAAGGAAAAATTACCCCTTAAGCATATAATTTAATATGAATACAAAGTGTACAAACGAAACAACCTCAGTAGTTAAATGGATGATTGTTATTCCTAGAGGTTTTAGATTTGAGCATATTGAATACGGAGTGTTTGAATGTCCATTTTCAAATATTGAGATTCTTTCTAATAAATAATATCTTCAAAATATCCTAGACTAATAAAAAATAGTACGAATACAAAGTCTACTAAGATATTCTTATAATTTTATCAATTTGAATTATTTTTAATAAATATTAAATTTATCATATATTTTTTTAGTATTATATTAAAATATATATTTTTAATGATAGTTTAACAATATAATTAAGGGTAAATTACAAATTTCATCACTAAACTTTACTCTCTCCTATTTTGCTCACTAAAGTTTAAAAGTTTTTTATTTCCTCATTGAACTTAATGCATTGGATTTTTTTTATCACTCCACCATTAAATAGTTAACAATGTTAAAACGATGCCGTTTTAAAAAAATAAAATTACCACCAAAACGACGTCATTTTGTATCTATATAAAAGCCCATTGATAATGTTGTTAGTGAAGAAATGACAGAATGACAAAAAAAACTCAATGTATTAAGTTTGTGATGAAATTGAAAAAAATTTAAGTACATGGAGTGAAACGGAAGAAGGAGTAAAGTTTAATTACTAAATTTGTCATTTACCCTATAATTAATCAGAAAAATATATTTTTATTAAAAATATCAAACTCATACTTTTGTATAGATTATATATAATAATAATAATTTAAAATATAGTTATTGACCGTCTAATCATATTATATCACTATATTAATCCTTAAATATAAAGGCTTTGAAGGTAGACCTAACCACATTTTATGGTCATAATAGGGGAAATTGAACCGCAATTTCATTGCATTTTAGAGTCAATGCCAAGTTTGCTTCAAATTTCATCTCCATAATTATATATTTATAACATCTAATATTCACCTGGATGGGCATGGGCTGGGTTTTGGCCTACATGACTCGAGCCAAAAATTTTACACCTTTTACCCAACTCGGCTCAAAAAATTTATATCCTGCACTCGACCCGATTTTTTGAGATAAAATCTGAACCCGATTCGACCCGACCCGAAATAATAAAAAAATTATTTTTATTCAATAAAAACAACGATTTAATTGAAAAAATAATATATAGAGATGTATTGTTGTAATTATTCCTAAATATATAAAGTAAAATTATATATTTTCCCAGGTTGGGTTGGGTCTGGGTATTTCTCACCTTAAACCCGAATCTGACTCGACCCGAACATTACCTTTAAAAAACCCGACCCGAACTCAATTTAAAAAAAAAACCGAACTAATCAAATTGAGTCGAGTTAAAACCCGTCTGTTTCGGTCTCCATCCCTATATTCACCTGTAATTTAGAGGAGGTCAAATATTGAGCGTGAATTCCACCCTAGCCAATATATAAATTAAATTAATTTTATTTTTATAAAAAAAAAAGGGAAAATGGTCGGTCATAACTATGTCGTTTCCTTAAGCTTTTATTATGCTTTGATCATCAATAAAGCAGCACTTAAGCAAACCCAACTTGAAGTTCCTTCATAGGTCAGTTGTTTGCAAGTTGTACACTTAGGTTTTAAGGACAACTCTAATTAGATAATTATTCACCAATTTTATATACCAATATATCTTATTCGTATCATATTTGATTGCGTATTATTTGACTTTATCTCTATGTAAATTTTTTTATAGTTAAGATATCATCAATAAATTAATGACCAGTTAATTTAGTAAAATAAGGTGTTAGGTTCTTTAAATAATTTTTAGAGTTCGAATCCTAATGTTATAAATAAAATAAATGGAATCGAAAGGATACTCCGTAACGAATCTCTACCATACTCACTTTAAATTAATCAATCAAACATATGACGCAATAATAAAAAACCACCGTTAACAACTTAACATAAAGTTTAGTTATAATTAAACCCTAACTTTATCCTCTCTTTTTTATCAACAAAACATGCCCTTAGATTTTATTTAAATTTCATCTCTTATATAAAATAATTCAAGGGTTGGATAAATTTAATAATGAAAAGAATGTTTCACAAGAGAAGTTATATTGTTGTTAATATTTTTCGTTATCAAATATATAAATAGTTATCTTTAATTTAACTAATTTTCTCTTTTATTCCATTAGGTGATATCCATTAATTTTTTTAAAAAGTAACCAGGATATATTCATTTATCGAAAGTCGCTTCAACAAATGTATTGTCAGTTACAGATTGAAACAATACAATCGTGACTATTATAAATAAAATATAACAATGATCGCCTAGTGATAGTCTGATAAATAAAAACATGAACAAGTGAAGAAACGACGTACATAAACTGATCATACCAACGGCTTCGAGCATCAAACATGGAGGAGAGAAAATTGAAGAAGAACCAAAAAGGTCAACGGAAAAAACGATCTCCCTTTAACAACAATCCCAACCGGCATATATATGTGATAACCAACGAATCATCTTGTACAAACGAACAGAGGAACCAAGCATCGGGAAAGAATCAACCATGGATTCATGTAAAATCACAAACCGAGAAGAAAAACCATTAAAAAAACCTGTACCAAAAGTCCACAAATACAGGTAGTCAAGATACCTTTTATCAAAAAGGGCATAGATAAACATTATTATGAAACTAAGTTAAACTAACATTGAAAACTAGAAAAAGTAAAAAAAAAAAATGGGGAGCAAAAGGATAGGGAAGTGGCCGTGAATGGCTACCACCGCTGGCCAAAAAATAAAACGTGGGACAATTGGCAACAAAGAAAGATAACCACTTCAGAGCATTAAATTTAAATTCTAAGACGAGAGGAGAAATATTGCTCACCACTTGACCACACAATAGGTTTCACACAATATTTACTATTAAATACTTATAAATTACAATTTAAGTATATTTATTATTAAAATAGTAATATAAAACTTTTTCGATAAAATATTAAAAGTAAAATTTATTATTAAATAATTTTATAATATTAAGTAATAGTTTTTTAAAATAATTAGTAGTATGAAATATATTAATGCTTTATTATTAGAATATATCCTTCATTTATTAAAATATTATATATTATCAATATCGATCTAGTTTAGGTTAGGGCCTACGGTACTTGTCACTTTCCCTAAAAATGAGAAAATCGGTGTTTAGTCCCCCGTCTTTAGTGTAATTATAAATTAGTGCAATGGTAAAATAGCACTTCTCCCAGCCCCAAGAAGAATACTAAATTCCTCACCGCAGTTTTGTTCTAAAAGTCCTGTCAGTTGCAAGGATTTTCTATTTTTGAAAATCATGTAATGTATATGGTCATAGAAAATCGTCAAAATTGAAATAGTAGTATCATAATATTATAAATATTTATAATTAAATTTAAATAGAAACTCAAATAATTTCACTCGACTCGAATTTTATAAACCTAACTCAACTCAAAATAATTCAAATAAAATTTGAATTATAAAATAAGACTCGTAAACATAAATAATTCAAACTTTTGTACTCGAATAGACTTGCCAAAATATCAAATGCTCACCCTTAGTGCAGTAAATCTTATGGAAGCCCTTGCTTTGCTGCAGAATTACATTGTGTATGGTCCTGGGGAAGGGAAGCAAACTTTGGAAGCTGAAGAGTGCTTTGTTTTCACAAAATTTAGCATTGGTTAACGAGTAGGTTTATTGATAAAAAAAATAGAATTGAATAAACAGTAAAATTTCTTTAATAATGTCTTAGAAAGAAAATTTGATCATATAGGGTGCAGGAAAAATTCTCTCTTCAATTAGGGTGTTTGTTATATTATTTGTGGAAGATATCAACAATTTTTAAAAGATGTTTGAATCGTTTGACAACTTTGAAAAATCATGTGGATGGCAAGATATTCCCGAGAATTTATGCATGCACAATAACAAGGATAACTTCCAAAAGTCGTCATGTGGTCCAATCATCTTCAACCCGATACTAAAACAAACACCCTAATTAAAGAAATAATTTTCCCAACATTTTATACGATCAATTTCTTAACACATTATTCAAACAAATTTGCCCAGAATAAACCCTAAAAGCAATGCTAAAATCACATGCATTCACGTTCCTTGCTACCGACTTAGTTTGGTCCAAAACAACATAACGTACAAGAACGTTTACAACACCTTATTGCATGTGAACAGCCACATTTGCTTCCCTCTTACGGTGCCTAATAAAAAGGATCGAATTTCTATAAAAATAAATAAATATCTCTTTTTCTAATTGATCCGACTAGGCACTCTCAAAGAAGACGCGTGGCAAGTGGATTCTATATAAGCTTCACCCCTTACTGTGAGATATACAAGCTTGGTTTGCATATCAGTGTTTATGCTTTAAAGTGAGAGCTGCTAAAGAGAAGATGAGGACAGACAGGCTCGGGTTCGTTTTCCCGGTGTGGTTAGCTCTTGCGGTACTGAGTATGTGGTGCACGACAGAAGTCGTCGAGGCGGCAATTTCGTTGCAGAATCCGATGAATCTGGTTTGGCATTACTATAAGGTGCATAATACATGTGAGAACGCAGAGCCTTTTATTAGGCATCAGGTGGAATTGTTTTATAAGCAAGACAAAACTATTGCACCGAAACTCCTTCGGTTGCTCTATTCGGATTGTTTTGTAAATGTAAGTATTTATCACTCTTTTCCCCCTTTTTTTTAATTGTTTTTAAGAAATGTATATAACAGCTTCTTTCAAATAAAAATATGGGTTAAATTAGAAAACAATGATTTATGAGACACAATAGGAGATTCAATTGGATACTTAAATTGTCATGGAAAATGAATTGGTAGGGGTGCGATGCTTCAATCCTCTTAGATGGGCCGGATTCAGAGAAGATGGCACCACAGAACCGAGGACTGGGAGGGTTCGTGCTTATCGACAAGATTAAGACGGTGCTTGAAGTGCGATGCCCTGGTGCAGTCTCTTGCGCCGACATTCTTAACCTCGCCACAAGAGATGCTGTTCATTTGGTATCAATCAATAACTAATAACTTTATCAGTTTCTAAACAAAAGCATCATCTTATTATACTGTGTTCATGTACTTTCTCAGACTAATAATTCATATCACAAAAATTGTATATTGACAGGCAGGAGCACCGTCTTATCCCGTATTCACAGGGCGAAGGGATGGGCTGACATCGACCAAAGGATCCGTCGATCTCCCTTCACCATCCATCTCCAGGGAAGCCTCACTCGCTTATTTCAAATCTAAAGGCTTGGATGTGTTGGACATGACTACCCTATTAGGTAAAGACTAGTATAAACACGAAAAAAACTAACATAAACATGACACGAATAAAAAAATATATCAATTCATGAATACGGGAAATATCTAAACTCAGCATCTGCAATTCGTTCCTATGTGACAGATTCTTTTGTAATAATCATCTCTTGGCATCTGACTTCTTACCTCTATTTGGTTCCAGGATCACATTCCATGGGGAGAACACACTGTGCCTTCATTGTGGATAGGCTTTACAATTTCAATAATACAGGAAAGCCAGATCCAAGTATGAAGGCATCATTCTTGACAGAAATGAGAAAGCTATGTCCACCACGAACGAGAAAGGGTCAAAACGATCCGCTCGTATTTCTAAACCCAGAATCTGGATCCAAATATAGTTTCACCAACTCCTACTACTCCAGAGTGTTAACCCATGAAGCTGTCCTCGGAGTTGATCAGAAGCTACTCTACGGTGATGATACTAAGCAAATCACTGAAGAATTCGCAGCTGGCTTAGAAGATTTCAGGAGATCGTTTGCTCTTTCCATGAGTCGAATGGGAAATATTGAAGTTCTAACAGGAAAGCAAGGTGAAATACGCAAAAATTGCAGACGTACAAACAAATACTAGTCACTCGGTTTGGAAGGAATGATTTATAAGCATAAAATTATAGGGATGAATTGTCATTCAAATGCCAAATTTCTTGGATTAAGGTTTATCATTAATATCAATAAAAAAAACAACAAAATGAGAACTATTTTTTGTCCACAAATAAATTGTATAACTTGTTCAATCTTTGAGCTAAACTGTTCTACAGAAAAGCTACAATTTCAATTCTCTAATAAGAACTACACAGTATTATTTTTTCTTTCAGTAAATTCACATTTTTAGCATTGTATTCTAAAAATAAATCAAATTATATAGCGGTAAGAAAGCCAGATCAAGCTTGCCTAACCTGGGAGATGTATCCTGGGGTAACTAAATGTTTCCATATGCATAAACCTTGAAAACATGGGACTTCTTCCAGCTCAAGCTTTTCTTGAACCTTCAAAATGAGTGGACAAAAAGGAGAAACTGTATAAGCTACAGAACAAACACGATGTTAATATGGAAGTTTATATTATACTAATCATGCCAAGAACAAAACTGCAAGACGTACGCGCATGGAACAAGTTCACAAAATCTGATCAATAGGTCAGTCCACAGACCAAAAGAAAACGTAAGGCCATTGCCACGGAAGAAAGACTAAGATTCCGGAAGAAAAGTTTAGCTCGAGCATTTGCAGGACATATATCATAAAGTCCTCACTTGCACAGTTACATAACCTCTTTGACGCGCTAGCATCCTTGCTAAATTTATTATTTTGGTAATTAATGTTTTTGTCAGTAATTATGAATTTTATTATTGGGTCAGTGACTCTGCATGAAACCTTTAATGAATTTTGTATGACTCAGAGTAGATGAGGTTTTTATTTGTAACAAAGGGCAAGAATAAAAGCCCCTGTAATCCTAATATGTATGATTTATTAAGCACGTGCAACGAGTTTCAAACATTTAAAGGTTCTATAACACAAACCTTATTGTTCTTGTTGGAACTTCAATTCTACAAAAAATCCAGCCTCTATTGCTTTTTGTTCTACTTTTCCTACTTCAGCCTACATTACTGTTTGGTCTGGAAAATCCAAAAGAATAGAACACCTAGTCGAATTTAGCTTCAAACAAAGAAGTGAGAGAAGGAAAGAACATAATCTCTACATGTTTATGAATCTCTTTTAGTCTATCAAAACAAGAAAATATCATTTACCAGCCACGAGAATTGCGTTACACTGACTATTTCTTCCCTTTATCATCAAATTATCTAGATTTCCTTAAATAAACTTTCTTCTTTCTGTAATTGTGTCAGATGAATTAGAAATGAGTCCATTGCGTAAGCCAATCGTTTACATTATAGTTCAACAAAATTTGAAGTTCCAAGAAAGATGGAAACTATAAATATGATCATCAATAGTTAAAAACTCTGCTGTTTCATAATTGGTTCAGATCTTACCAAAATTTTGATAGTTAATACATAAACTTTGCTATATGTTTTACATAACCAAAATATTACTATTACTATTTTTGACTTGAAAGAGTGTAACCCAAAGAATAGGTGTATTATTAGGACTGCAAAACTTAAAATTTCTACTACATTAACTTTATACACTCTTTTTCATCAGATATTTTTACTTCTGTATAAATGATATAAAACAGAGTAGTTACCTTGGAACACACTTGATGATAATGGAGTGAAAAATAGGAAGAATCATCATCAGCAAAGCACTTCCTTTCTATGCTTCATTCCAAGAGACCCACCATAAACTTTCATGGAATGCCCAAACAGATACTAATACTGATTCAAAGTGCTAGTGTCCTTTTGCCATGAAAGTAAGCCTACTGACTATAACGAAGTGAATGCCCTTTGATCTTGATTAACTGATTAAAACAAAATGTTAGTAAAGGTATCTCTATAAAGGGCAAAACATTCAATAGAGAAACGAAGAAAGACTAAGCATGTATGTCCACTATGTTTTGCACATTTCCCATGGCACCTGACTTAATCACAACTTACAATGCAGATAATTTATGTCATTTGTTCAACATGTTAATGTTCTTATCCATCCGTTCGAAGGATAGTTGATTCAAAGCAAGAGTATTATTCCTGTCCAAAACCTATGTAATGCAAGACAAGGCAATGAAAACTATAGGCAAAAAAAGCAAATGTCAAGAACAAGAAGTTTATAGTCAGTTAGATGGATCAACAAAACCACTGTGTTCTATTTGATACTATATTTCAGTAAACAAAGTAAAAGGTGTGGTCCTAGCATTCGTGTTACTTTACACTTCCTCTCTTAACAGTAAGTTTTAGGCATCAATTATTAACTCATATCTTGTCACATGTGCTATTGGATCTCGTTTTTACATGTTCAAACACCATTACAATATTAGAGGTTCCAATATGACAAGGCCTTTTACACTGTTATTAGAGAGAGCAAGAGAAAGAAACAAAAGGTTTGACAATTCAATGCAAAGTAGCAGGGAAGTTAAATATACATTTAACCTCACTCGTAATTCCTCAAGAGGATAACACTACAATTACTAACCTTGTATAAGTATTTTTTTTCTTAGTTTGATTGCTGCAACTACACATCTTCTGACACGGATTTTCAGAAGCTCATCATTGAAAATCTGCAATAAGACGCAAAAGAAAATAGATTGAAATGAAATGAAACATCCCCAGCTATTAAGTTGTATGGGGATCTAAACCCCTCCATCTTTTCCATAAGAACATTAAGTCAAACATCCAGAATTAATGGCGTACTCATTACAGTGGAAGAAAACGGCCCTGCAAGTCATACAGGGATACAACAAGGCCCATAAATATGAAAATGCATGCCCTCAAAGTCGATACAAACAAAATTTGAATTACTCTTGCATTTTTTGTTTAAAAAATGTTCTATTAAATGTTAGAATGCTAGCAACTGGGAAATGAATATAGAAATCAGGGTGAATTGCCCCACATCTACGCATTTCAAAGGTAGGGCATTACTTTGATCGACATCATACCAAATTATTGTGTACAGGCTTAGAACAAGCTACCAATGCAGAAGTATGGCCTCCTTCCTATCTAAACAGTAAATGAAACCTTTAACATGAGAAAACTCAGTCTCTACCATAGAAGAATAAAATTTGCTTAAATCCTTTTATAGGATCAGACATAATTTCCGAAAATGTCTATCCAGTGGAAGGAAAAAAATACTCTTCTATTTTTTTTACAGAAGGGAAAACTAATAAAACTGACAATACTAAACACAATAAATAAGTCTATAGAGATCCTGGCTAGCCAGCTCAAATAATTAAATGAGGTCGTAACCAAACATCTGAGAAGTACAACCTAGGAGAGGAGTTGTGACTAAAATGGATGCTCAAAGCTGTGCATGTTTGTGTAGAGACAAGGAGACAGTATAATTTTTTTTATAGGAAAAGGTGATACATTCATCACAGGACTCACATCAAAGGAAGAAATAATAACTCTTCCAAATGATCCACTCGTCCAAGCCTTGGAAAAGAATACCAGAACAACAGCAAACTTGCGACGACTTTTTGAATGAGATCTTGATCTTATTTGGTCAACATGTCTTCTGGAAATACGACCTCTGTCTCTTAGCTTTCCAACGGTTCTTGAATTGCATCAATTTGATATCGGGAACTCAAGATATAGTCATTTTAGTGAAGACACTGCATGCAGAAAATCCTATACGGGATTAATACGAGATTTTGTAAATATTACGAATTTTCAATATTTTTATTGATTTTTTTATAAAAGTATGAGGCCTCATTAAAAAACCTCCCTCATAGTAGTTCATTTCCAGAAGGAAAGAAACGACTAGCGGAAGGAGGAAAAGAGTACCTCAATTTATTAATAGAACCAGATTACATAAGACTTAAACATTACACCCAAAACATGTTTTCTTACAAAAACACAAAGAACAGCTAAAAAAACCTTACAATCATCCAATCCCCTCCTTCGCTAAATGATCAGCCTCACAGTTGCAACCCCTTGGAATCAACCTAACTATATACGCATTAACTGATACAAGTGACACAATATCCTTGACTAGGTTACTAAAGAATGCAGGAGCAGTAGAAGTAGATTTAATCCACTTCACTGCAGACTTGCAGTCGCTTTCAACAATCAATCTACCCTCAGGAACCCACACTGATGAAATAAAAATTCCGATGCCTTTTTTAATGGCTTTCAATTATGCTAAAGGTGGAGGGCCCGAACCAACACTTTCTGAAAAAGTCAGTAGAGTGAAGTGTTTCCAATCTTTTAAAATACCACCAATTCTTACTACCAACCCATCAAAACTTATAGCTCCATCAACATAGGATGATACATTATCTTTTAGGATTAGATTTATTATTTTTTTAGGAATTAAGATAAAGTTAAAACATTATTTTTAGTTATTATTATTTTATTAGGAATTAGAGTTAAGACATTTTAGTTTGTTATTATTTTATTCATTAGTTATTTATGACATTTAGAAATCATCCCTTATATAAAGGAGATTTCATTCAATTTTGTAAAACAAATTTATTTAATTAATAAATACAACGAGAGTTCGTTTTTGCAAGTGCTGATTGTCTTGTGCCTTCGAAGCTTCTTCTCCTGGAGTTCTTTCAAGTTCTTGTGAGGGAGATTAATCTTCACACTCCAATTTGCCTTTTCATCGCGACGAAGAGGGTTGGTTAGAGCCATATTATCGAGTTTGTCTTTTCATTGCGACTAGGAGGGTTCAATATGACACTTATCCATCTATTTTTCCACAAATCCATATGCATCATCAATCATCTTTATCGTTCACCTTCATAAGGGAGATCTTTCGATTTCTTTATTATCTTATTTCATTTTCAATTTCTTTATCTTTTGTTTATTTTATTCTAATCTTGTTGCCATGATTCTAGCTCCTAAAAGAAACCCTAAAGAATCTTAGTTACTACTGCCACCTTCCCTTATTCATTCCCCTTTGTTCTTCATTGAGTTTAGAGCTTTCTCGATTTGATTCTTCAACAAGAGCAACTTTCATTAACCTGCCACCACTTCCCTATCAAAAGGGCATCGTTAAAAAACCCCTTCTTAACTATCAAGCTACATAGGTATCTCAACGGACATTGGAAGGAGGAAAAGAGTGTCCAAATTTTATTACTAAAACAGAAAATACATCCAAGGTAAAAATCACCTTAAATACAAACCTTCCCCACAAAACAAAACCTCTACCCTAAAAAAACTCAACCTACACAACAAATCAGAAACACCCCACATTACT